TTGCTTCAAAACAGAAAAATCCCTCAGTTATACCTTGCTGCTGCTTTCTGTCAAGTTGCCAAACAGAAAACCTAATTATTCATGGTCTCGCGACAATGTACATGCTTCAACGGGTGTGGCATGTGGTGTGTTGTATGCAGGGAAACTGTAGGGGTGGTGTCTGCCCCGAAATGTTAAGTTATAAGACCAGTTCGTCAAGTTCAACTCACCTCTATCTTATCTCCTCTCTCACTCTCCCTTTTCTAATTTCTAACCATCTTTTCTTTTGCGCTCTCTCTCTTCTCTCCATCGCTATCTGAGGGTAGAATCCGCTCTCTCGTATCAGCATTATCGTCTATCTCTATCTCTCTCTTGCTCTCCGCTGTCTTCCGCTCTCTTTTCGTATGAGAGTCTCATTTATTCATGCTGGGAGGCGATTGCCAAGAACTCCTTTTAAAAATTAACTCAGCCACTGAGTTAAAGAAAATAAATTAAACTGCTCACTGCCTTGCTGGTACACTGGTTGATTTAAAGCCTGTTAAGATGGAAACCGATAATGCAAAGTATGTGTAGCGTCACTGCCACCATCCTAATTCAATGTGTGTGTAGCTTCACTCTCACCCTAAGATGTGTGGTTATTTATAACCAATGCCTTCTCACTTAAGAAATGTGCAGTGTTTTCATGGAAGGTAAATGATGGTGTGTTTGTGTTGTGTTTTGTTTGGAAGCAGGGTTGTCGACTCAACCAGCAGCATCTACTCTAGGACTTTACAATCACTAGACCTCAAATCACTGTAGGCTCCAGGGTTAATGCTGGTTCTTTTCTACCTGGCAGTCGATTGATCAATTAATTACATTGATTGGCCCAAGAGTTCACTCACCTGGTGTCCAAGGTCTGAATCAGTCCATAATCAGGTGGTTAGAACCAGAAGTGTTTTGGCCCTCCAGAAATGTAATTAATAGCCCTGAATCCTGGGTTACTGTATTTCCTGGTCTACTGTATTTGAACTGGACTAGTGGGATGAGCTTGAGAGACAGGATAGCCCATTCAGCATGTTTCTCCATTAGTCTCTTTCTAAGGTAGTGACTCACCATAACCTGACATCTCTCCTGGCCTATTTCTCCTGGCTGCTCAGGAGAGACACTTACATCCTTACGGCTCCTTCACTTTCTATACACAACACTTCTTATATCGCGCTTGCTCGCTCGCTAGCTTTCTATCTCGCTCTATAACTCTCACTCCATCTCAGATAATCACCTAGCAACTCTCCTAGGATCTCAGCCCCCCTCCCTCTCCTCTCTCTGTCTCTCTGTGTCGCTCTCTCTCAACCTCTCTCTCTCACTTTCTCAATCTTTTTCTCCACTCACCTAGCATCTTAGGATCTCAGCCCAGGGGCTGCTCTGCTAATTTTAGCCTGGTGCTGAATCAGAGGCTAAGATAGGGCTCTCTCTTGTTATTCAAATTGTTATGTCAAAACTCTCCCCCTCTGTCTCTCATTGTATCCAAACTCATAATCTTTTCTCGTATCACGATCATTCCATACTTTTCAATCTCTCCTCTACAACTATCCTTATTTCCACTTACTCCACTACTTTCCTCTGTATCTGTATCTACGCAGCCTTTCCTCAGTCTCAGTCTCTAATAAAGACATGTCCTCTGTCTATGTATCTAATCAATCATTTCAGCTATGTCGCTGGCTCTCTAACTCCTTCCTTGTCTCGTCTCTCCTCATCATTTCTCTGTCTCATGTCTCTCCTCATCCTGTCATATGTCTCTGGCTCTCGCCTCCTTTCTACGTCTCTGTCTATCCTCACTTTATTTCTCTGGCTCTGTTCTCTCTCATGTATTATTATGTCTCTAATATCTGTCTCATAAGCTGTCTTTCTATCTGTCTCTAATTGTCTCTCTTCTATGATAACTAGTAGCTAATCTGTTCATAATAATAATATCCACTGTTTCTCATCTCGTCTGTCCTCTGTTCTCTCTCTCTCTTCATACTGGTTTCTCATCTGTATCTCCTTCTGTATGTACTTATATGATCTTCCTCTGTATTAAAACTCTGTATATAATTCTGGTACTCTAATATATTATCTCAGTCTCTATTCAATCTTCTATCTGCCTCTCTCTCTATCTATGTCACTCATTTACTGTCTCTCTAGCTATCCTCTCCTCTGTCTTCCTCTCTCTCTTTATTGCCTATACATCTCTACTATGTATATACTCTATGTATCATATTGTATCTAATATGTATAACTTCGGTATATAATCGGTAATCTACCATATATATTACGGTTCGATTCTGCCGTCTATTCTATCTGAATCTCCTCCTATCTCCTCTGTAAATATCTCTCTGTCTATCATCTCTCTCATCTCCTCTGTATCTATATATATATTAAATTTCTTCTTGCCTATAATATATCTCCTATGTATATCCTCTGTATCTACTAGAGATATGCTATCTCTATAGGTATCTACTATCTTCCTAAGGTCTATCCTCTCTCCTCTGTATTCATATATCTTCCCTCTGTAACTTCATATTTGCGAATATAATTCTATAATCTGACTTCTCTCTTCATATGTCTCTATCAGGTTATCTACTCTCATCTCTGTTATCTCTTATATTATAATTTTCTTCTCTCTGCCCTCCCTATCTAACTCGCTCATCCTCTCGCAATCTACCCTCTATACTATGTAACTCTATATGTCTGCTCTCTCATTGTATCTTCCTTATATCTCTAGCCTACTGTACCTCTGTCTATATGCATCATAAACCATACTAAAATCGTAATCATAGATGTCTTCCTATTCTTACTATGTCCCATATATCTAACTATGTCTCTCATTATGTGGATATCCTATACGTCTCTCTCTCTAATACTAGTATCTTCTCTGTATATACATACTCTTACTCTGTATATTCTTATATGTCTCTAATCTATCTCATTCTGTCTCTCCCTCTTCTTCCTATGTCTCTTCTCTCTGCCTCTCCCCTCTCTCCTAAGGTAAATACTCTATGCCTATCCCCTCTGTCACTCGCTCTGTCTCTATCTATAACTCTGTATCTTATCTATATATCATGTTATTTCTCTATGAATATCCAATCTATACACGTCACTTCTATATGATATCATTATATATAATCTTGTCTTCACTCATCTGTGACTATTATGATAATATACCATTGCTCAAGAAATTGTCTCTTATATTGTATCTAATACATATAATCTGTCTCTCCCTCATGCTGTCTATCCGATATCTACTATAAGCTGGTTGTATTATATACCTCTAATATGGTATCTACATATATCGATAATATGTATGTCGATATATGGATCTACTATATATATAATTACTGTAATATAATCTGTATCTATTTAAATCTACTATGTTTATATATGTATATAAGATAATATTAGATAGTTCTATAATATCTGTTATATAATATATCTACTATGTCTATATATAGTATATAATCTTATCTATCCTCGGTATATTCTCTGTCTCTACTATCTATCTATTAATATCTCCTCATGTTATCTCCTCTCTAACGCATCGTCTACTCCTCTTGTCTCTCTCTCCTATCTCATCTCTATTTCCTCTGTTCTTTCTCTCTGTATCTCTCTCTCTCCTCTGTATCTTATCATCTGAATCCATTCTAATCTGTAATACTATATGCCCTACACTCTATCCATCATACATCTTGTATATCCCTCTATATGTCTATACTATCTCTCCTGGTACTTCTCCTATCTCTCATCTGTCATAATAATCTCGATCTACTTCGATCTATTATCTATGACTCTCCCTTATCTACTCTGTCATCACTCTGTCTCTCTATCTTCATAGTTCTTCTCTGTCTCCTCTGTCTCTCCTCTCTGTCTCATATATCTCCCCTCGTTGCTTGATCTGTCTCTCCCTCTATTCATGTCTCATCCTCATGTGATCCTCTATTCTCTACTTGTCTGTCCATCTGGTCTCTCTCTCTCTCTCTAGTGTCTTTCTCTCTGCTCTACCCATTCTCCCTCTGGCACCCTCTCTGTCTCTCTTCTCTCTCCTCTGTCTCTCCTCTCTGTCTCTCCTCTCTCTCTCCTCTGTCTCTTCTCTCTGTCTCTCCTCTGTCTCCTCTGTCGCTCCTCTCTGTCTCTCCTCTCTCTCTCCCCTCTGTCTCTTCTGTCTCTCCTATGTCTCTCCTCTGCTTTCCTCCTCCATCCTCTCCTTCCCTCACTTGCCTTTTGTGTAACATTGTACATCTCTCTCCTTGTCCCAGACTCACAGTCATAGTAAACTTATGATCTAAAAAAAGAAAAACCACACGATGAGTGTTCTCCTTTGTTGTCAGTTACTGTCTACTATAGTCAAGGTGTGTGTGTGTGTGTGTGTGTGTGTGTGTGTGTGTGTGTGTGTGTGTGTGTGTGTGTGTGTGTGTGTGTGTGTGTGTGTGTGTGTGTGTGTGTGTGTGTGTGTGTGGCCCGGTGAAGGTCACTGAAGAGAGACAGCCTCAGTGGGCTGTGGTAAATGCTGTCAGATGGGAAGGAGGCAGGCCCACAAACACACACAAACACACACACACACAAACATATTTCTAACAGTAGCAGCAGACTGGTCTAGCAGTGTATATGGCTAATTAGGTTTGATTAATGCTATTAATGCTACACTAGGTAAGAAGGTTTTGTTGTCGTCTCGTTTAGAATATTGAACTCCTTTACATCTTGTGATTACAGGGTTTTCAATCAGTCACATGATTACAGCTGGATTGGTCTTATAATGCAACTTTGCAGTGCTTTATCCTGTTCCAGTGTTCTTTGTCATGAGCTATTTAAATCAAACAAAATGGTGGCATTGGTTGATTAATGAATGTATTGATTTTCTCCCGATTTACTCTTGAGTGTCTCTGCCAGGCGATGACAGCAGTAAGGGTTAGGGTTAATATTGATCAACTGATTGATTGATTAAGTGATGTCTTTCGCTTCCTGTTTCAGTGAACAGAGTATCTGCTAGGCAAGAGCCTCCGTCATGGTGTATGATGATAGGGTTAGGGTTACGGCTCGACAGACCAACCGACAGATCAATTGATTGATTGATTAAATTATGAACTAATATTTTCTCTCTTCCTGTTTCAGTGAGCAGAGTATCTGCCAGGCGCGAGCTTCCGTCATGGTCTATGATGACAGTAGTAAGAAGTGGGTTCCCATCAAGCCAGGCCAGCAGGGCTTCAGCCGCATCAACATCTACCACAACACTAGCAACAACACCTTCCGCGTGGTGGGAGTCAAACTACAGGACCAGCAGGTAGAGGTACACACACACAAACACACACACACACACACACACACTGATCTGAAATGGCCATGAAGGTAACCATTGACTCTCTCCATCTCTCAACCCCCCCTCCCCCCGTCTCCAGGTGGTAATCAACTATTCCATAGTGAAGGGGCTGAAGTATAACCAGGCCACGCCCACCTTCCACCAGTGGCGTGATGCCCGCCAGGTCTACGGACTCAACTTCGCCAGCAAGGAGGAAGCCACCACCTTCTCCAATGCCATGCTCTTCGCTCTCAATGTCCTCAGCACTCAGGACGGAGGTGAGAGAGAGAGTGTGTGAGGGAGGTGGGGTGTGTGTGTGTGTGTGGAGTGTGAGTGCGCCTATTGTTTTAATTAGAAATAGGTTAAATTTTGACAGCTTGCATTTTAGACAAAGTGTACATTTAAAATAGACTAATAGAGAATTTGCCAGCTTGCAGTTGGCTGATGAGATGTGTTCTCTTTTTAAACGGGAGATAAATCTCATGCAGTTTGAGACTGACAGACGGACCATCGTAGGTCCCCAGAGACGTGATTAACACTACTAATGAAGCCGTTTGGCTCACACACACACACACACACACACACACACACACACACACACACACACACACACACACACACACACACACACACACACACACACACACACACACACACACACACACACACACACACACACACACACACACACACCGGTTAAACCTTATGGGTCTCCCGACACACTGGACCCAGTCAGTCAGTCTCTTTGTGTAATTGGCTGTGAGTCATGTCCAGGGTGTGTGTGTGTGTGTGTGCACATGCGTGTGTGTGTGTGTGTTTATGAGTGTGTGCGTGGAAGGGGGGGGGTTCATATGTGTAGCCGCTGTGAGTCAAGCCCTGTGTGTGTCTGTATGTGCACCTCCTTTGGAGGACCAGGGTATTAATAGGTCTTTAACCCCAATAGGGGCGACAGGGTGGAACAACAACAACAGGCAGATTGGGGTGGCCTGAGCAAACATAGTCAACATGAGAAAGCCCTATATAAAGTCAATCCAATTCATTATGGCCAGGAGGGAAAGGGGACCTGTCAGGGTAGGTGGGGTCAATTCCATTTCCTTTCGTTCAATCTGAGGTTTGAACAGGTGACACTTACTTTCAATGATTCCGTTTTCCGATTGGAATTTAAATTCACTTCGACTGAATGCACTGATAATCATCCCAGTCATTACAGTAACAGTTGAGTCCTCTCTTCCCAGTCATTACAGTAACCAGGAGTCCTCTCATCGCAGTCATTACTGTAACAGTGGAGTCCTCTCTTCCCAGTCATTACAGTAACAGGGGAGTCCTCTCTTCAAAGTCATTACAATAGCATGGAGTCCTCTCTTCGTAGTCATTTCAGTAACAGTGGAGTCCTCTCTTCGTAGTCATTTTAGTAACAGTGGAGTCCTCTCTTCCCAGTCATTACAGTAACAGGGGAGTCCTCTCTTCCCAGTCATTACAGTAACAGTGGAGTCCTCTCTTCCCAGTCATTACAGTAACAGGGGAGTCCTCTCTTCCCAGTCATTACAATAGCAATGGAGTCCTCTCTTCCCAGTCTCTCTATCTCTCTCTCTCTTCACCCAGAGCAGGTTCCTTCAGTCATTACAGTAACAGTGGAGTCCTCTCTTCCCAGTCATTACAGTAGCAATGGAGTCCTCTCTTCCCTGTCTCTCTCTATCTCTCTCTCTTCACCCAGAGCAGGTTCCTTCAGTCATTACAGTAACAGTGGAGTCCTCTCTTCCCAGTCATTACAATAGCATGGAGTTCTCTCTTCTGTGTCATTTCAGTAACAGTGGAGTCCTCTCTTCCCAGTCATTACGGTAGCAATGGAGTCCTCTCTTCCCATTCATTACAGTAGCAATGGAGTCCTCTCTTCCCAGTCATTACATTAGCATTGAGTCCGTAACTCCCAGTCATTACAGTAACAGTGGAGTCCTCTCTCCCCAGTCTTTACAATAGCAATGGAGTCCTATATTCCCATTAATTACTGTAGCAATGGAGTCCTCTCTTCCCAGTCATTAAAATAACGGTGGAGTCCTGCTTTAGCAGTATGCTTAGGGTCATTGTCCTGCTGGAAGGTGAACCTCCGTCCCAGTCTCAAATCTTTGGAAGACTGAAACAGGTTTCCCTCAAGAATTTCCCTGTATTTAGCGCCATCCATCATTCCTTCAATTTGGACCAGTTTCCCAGTCCCTGCCGATGAAAAACATCCCCACAGGGATGGTGTTCTTGGGGTGATGAGAGGGTTGGGTTTGTGCCAGACATAGCGTATTCCTTGATGGCCAAAAAGCTAAATTTTAGTCTCATCTGACCAGAGTACCTTCTTCCATATGTTTGGGGAGTCTCCCAAATGCCTTTTGGAGAACACCAAACGTGTTAGCTTATTTTTTTCTTTAAGCAATGGCATTTTTCTGTCCACTCCTCCGTAAAGCCCAGCTCTGTGGAGTGTACGGCTTAAAGTGGTCCTATGGACAGATACTCCAATCCCCGCTGTGGAGCTTTGTAGCTCCTTCAGGGTTATCTTTGGTCTCTGTTGCCTCTCTGATTAATGCCCTCCTTGCCTGGTCCGTGAGTTTTGGTGGGTGACCCTCTCTTGGCAGGTTTGTTGTGGTGCCATATTCTTTCCATTTTTTATAATGGATTCAATGGTGCTCCGTGGGATGTTCAAAGTTTCGGATATGTTTTTATAACCCAACCCTGAACTGTACTTCTCCACAACTTTGTCCCTGACCTGTTTGGAGAGCTCCTTGGTCTTCATGGTGCCGCTTGCTCGGTGGTGCCCCTTGCTTAGTGGTGTTGCAGACTCTGGGGCCTTTCAGAACAGGTGTATATATACTGATATCATGTGACACTTAGATTGCACACAGGTTGACTTTATTTAACTAATTATGTGACTTCTGAAGGTAATTGGTTGCACCAGATCTTATTTAGGGGCTTCATAGCAAAGGGGGTGAATACATATGCACGCACCACTTTTCCGTTATTTATTTGTTCAAATTTTTTGAAACAAGTAATTTTTTTCATTTCACTTCACCAATTTGGATTATTTTGTGTATGTCCATTACATGAAATCCAAATAAAAATCCATTTAAATTACAGGTTGTAATGCAACAAAATAGGAAAAACGCCAAGGGGGATGAATACTTTTGCAAGGCACTGTACAGTAGGATTGGAGTCCTCTCTTCCCAGTCATTACAGTAGCAATGGAGTCCTCTCTTACCAGTCATTACAGTAGCAGTGGAGTCCTCTCTTCCCAGTCATTACAGTAGCATCGAGTCCTCTCTTCCCAGTCATTACATTAGCATTGAGTCCTCTCTTCCCAGTCATTACAGTAACAGTGGAGTCCTCTCTCCCCAGTCATTACAGTAGCAGTGGAGTCCTCCACTCCCAGTCATTGCAGTAGCAATGTAGTCCTCTATTCCCATTAATTACCATAGCAATGGAGTCCTCTCTTCCCAGTCATTACACTAACGGTGGAGTCCTCTCTTCCCAGTCATTACAGTAGCAGTGGAGTCCTCTCTTCCCAGTCATTTTAGTAACAGTGGGGTCCTCTCTCCCCAGTCATTACAGTAACAATGGAGTCCTCTCTCCCCAGTCATTACAGTAACAATGGAGTCCTCTCTCCCCAGTCATTACAGTAACAATGGAGTCCTCTCTCCCCAGTCATTACAGTAACAATGGAGTGTTCATTTTGTTTTCTCCATCCTCACTCTCCTCTCCTCTTTTAAATAAAATGAGTAATTGAGGAGTTGTCCCCAGGGCCCAGTCTTCGAGTTCTGCTCTTTTCATCTGACTAATAAACACACACACACACACACACACACACACACACACACACACACACACACACACACACACACACACACAGAGAGAGAGAGCAGCTCTTTCATCTGCCGAATAAACACACACACAAAGCAGCTCTTTTGATCTGTCTGATAACACAGACGGGAAACAAAGGGATTCCAGTGACAGGAGATACACCACCACCCTCTTGCTCTCTGTTCTGTCCCCAAGTGTCACAGACCGCACGCACAACTCAAATCACGGAAACAGGTCACACACTGCAAATGGGAAAATCTCAGAGGTCCCCACACACCTGAGGTGACTGCTGCAGAGATCAAATGAACAGTGTGTGTGTGGGTTTTTGCTCAGCTGATGCCATGATGTCAAGGGTTAGACACCCTCTCTTCTGCAGTGCTTGGAGAGGCTTATACACACACACACACACACACACACACACACACACACACAGACACACTCACTACCTCTCTCACGCACATTCACACAACTCACACACACTATGATGAAAACGAAACATGCCAATAGCCTGTTGAAGTGCTGTTGAAGTGCCAGTTCGTTTAAGCTTGTATGAAGTGGCAATATACCACTGACTGAACTGCCAAAGAGCAGATCCTACACTCAATCCTAAATGGACCCCTATCCCCTATGATGAGCTCTAAAATGATTAGATAGGTGTGCTGTAAGTTATATGGTAATAGCCATATTGGTTACACCTATTCAAACCTCTTCGGTCTATACAAGTTGATGGAGTAGGCCGGGGTGTAGGGATTAGGCTTCAGTGTAGTGTCTAGGGTGTAGGTGTTGTTTTGGGTTTGGTCCTGAGCTTCACAGCACCTCAGGAACCTTACCACTCTTCACTATTCCTCACGTCTGCCCCCTGGTGTTCTGGAGGCCGGTTGCACAACCTCCCTGATCTCAATGACCTGTGGTGTTCTGGAGGTCTGGGGCCTCATTTATCAAAGGTGCGTGTGCACAAAAAACAACTCTAAAACTTGCATGCGGCAGTTTTCCCGCAAAGGTTGGTATGTATTCATTTTGAACTTGACGGGAAAGTGTGCGTATCTCCGCGCAAATCTCAGACCATGCGTACGCGCAACTTCTAGTGGTTGATCAACTGCATGCAAATCCTAGAATCTCCACGTGTGCCAGAATTTAGTAAGACATTTACGCACAGTTGACAAATGAGGCCCCCTCCCTGATCTCAATGACCCCTGGTGTTCTGGAGGCCTGTTGTAGACAGTCTCCCTGATCTCAATGACCCCTGGTGTTATGGAGGCCTGTATGTAGCAGTATGATTACTCTGTCTGGCCAGTAGCAGTATGTAGCACTATTGAGACTGTCTGGCCAGTAGCAGGATGTAGCAGTATGGAGACTCTGTCTGGCCATTAGCAGTATGTAGCAGTATGGATACTCTGTCTGGCCAGTAGCAGTATGTAGCATATGGATTACTATGTCTGGACCCAGTAGCAATATGAGAGT